TAATTTGAGAGATGTATCATAGTTTATATCATTTTCTTTTTTTTTCTGTGGAGGTTGGTGGGTTTGGGTTATATGGGAATTCTCAAGGGACCACATGCAGTTCCATCAGGGATTAAACTAAGGCCAGCTTTATGCAAGGCCAGTGCCTTTTTATACCTTTTAATACCTCTCCAATCCCACATTCCATTCCACTATTCATTATGTGCATTTCCATAAAAACTATGCTTTTCAAATCTAAAGCAATTAAAGCAATTAATATACAGAGAAAGTAAGCTAAGTCAGAGAGGATGACAAATATTATATGTTATCATTTTTATGTAGCATCCAAAAAAGACCAAACTCATGAAGAACAGAGTACAACGGTGTACCTGGGAGAGGAGGCTGTAAAGTATAAAATCTTGTACAAAGTAGATAAATAAGACCTAGAAATATACTAAAAGCCTAATTATTATAAATAAAAATATTATATTATAGGTCTAGAAAAAATAGCTCAAAGGGTTTTGCATGGAGACTTGCATTTAATCACAAGGAACAATCACTGTGTGAAAAACCAGGAAAAATCCCTGTGTGAAAAACTAGGAGTAATGTGCCCACCCCAACCCACCCTCACCAAACATAGCTAGGTATGTCTAATGTCTAACTCTCTCCCACCCTAAAATATGAATATATTCTTGAAAACTTCACTTTCTGACACTATAGGCTAGTGATGGCAATGGTTATAAGCACCAGTAGTGTGTATTAGTTCCAGCTAATTGTTATACCAAGTCACTGAAATATAATATATCTGTCAGAAATTTAAAAGCATCTCTGATGAGATCTGATTTTGGGGTCTCCAGAAATCTGCGGTAGATGCAAAGAAATCTAAAAGGCTACTTTCACTTAGGTTGGAGTTTGTCTGACATTTCCCTGTTAATGGTTCCATCTGTAATACAAAATGGTGACTTTGAAGAGCTGGACTTAAGTAGCATTTCAGGGCTCCAAAAAGGAACCAGGCAAAAACTTCAGCACTTAGCCTTGAAAACCACATGGCATTATATCGCTTCCACTAGATAAGAAGCCCCGGATCCATTTCCAGCTTCAAAGAAAAGAAAGCGACTACAACGAGCGATAGAGTTGGTTTTAGGCAGAGCTTGGGAGTTAGAAATGCCTATAGACGAGGAAACCTCGAAACAGAAATTATGGACTTGAAAATGTAGGGAATACAATTTAGCCAGTTATCCTCAGTAGAAATATGTACATTCTTTAATATTTTCTTAACAAGTTATCCTGAATCTTGCTTATTATAAGACAACTTCTATATTAATAAGATTTCTCTTCTCTAAAGAGAAAAAGGTTCTTATTCTATTACATTGGAGGCTATTTTCTTAGTGTTAAAAAATTTCTGAGGTTTTGAGGCTGGAGCAATAGCACAGCAGGTAAGGTGTTTGCCTTACACTGGGCCGACCCGGGTTCGATTCCCAGCATCTCATATGGTCCCCTGAGCATCTCCAAGGATAATTCCTGAGTACAGGGCCAGGAGTAACCCCTGTACATCGCTGGGTGTGACCCAAAAAGAAAAAAAAATAGTGGTTTTTATAATATCCCAAAAAGATGCAAAATGTGATATTGTTAGTGAAAGAAATGCTTTCTCATTCTTCCTTCTATGTCGCCAACAGAAATATGGATAAACTTGCAAGACCTTCATTATCTCATTTGAAAAATCCAATAGACTTGAACTAGAAGCCTCAAACATATATTAGATCAAGATTTTAAATTATAACAATGTCATTCCTCAAAAAGGATGCTTTCTTATAAGAGTCAATATTTGTTAGGTATGCTAGCACTCCAGTATATTTTATACTTTTGCTCTTTTTTTTATACTTTTATGACAGATTTTATACTAAGGTTTTTTTTTTATTTAGAATTTACAAATAAATGCACCTAATAAAGAGAGAGGATAAGATTAAGGGTATAATCTGTGATGCTAAAACTGAATTTCTGAGTAATCTCTTTGGCAGTACATGTTGTTATCCTCTCTGTGAGTAGACATTCACTGTTCGAAGCAACAAGCTCTTTGATACTTAGAAATCTTGGATTCTGCTCTATTTTTAAAGCCACTATATCAGTATTCATCAACAGTTTAACATAGTCTCTCATTTATACTCAAATAGGCTATTCTATAATCACACTTTCAGAAACCAACTAAGAAGTCTAAATTACTGATAGCAGCTGTTTACACAGGGATCTTCCATTTACTAAGAAACAGAACTAATTAATGTGTTAAAACTCAGGACCAAAATTATGCAAGGAAGTAGTAAAAGATATTATTTTTAAATGGATATTCACCTTAAGTATGAAGCTTAAAAAAGGCAAAACATTCTAGAATAATTTTTCTTTATGTTGCTAGTAAAGCTAATTTAACTGATCTCTAAGTATAGTCAAAATCTATTAAAAGAAATAATTTTGATTCAAAACTTATTTTAAAAAACTTATTAAAATAATTAAGATGAGTGATGGGAAATTGGATATTAAAAAGTCTTGTGATAACTAATTTGGAGCTAATTAAGCATGTTTTCAAAATGTTTTACAAGACAGATCCTATTCCTATGAATAAATCCCATTTTTCTACTAAATATCCAAGTGTAGTTTGAACTATGTTAGGACTAAAGACAGGTTTTGTAATAATTGCTAAAATTCTTAGACTATTCACATAACAAACTAAAAACTTTTCATCTATAATACCACTTTTATCAAACTTTTAAACAGTTATAAAATAACCAAAAGAAAAGAAGTATAATCACAAATTTCTTTTTAGGTTATACCAGATATTCTTGGGGCAAACAGCACTAGGATATAATGCTAGAACTTTCTGGAAATCTATAGAAATTATAGAGATGCTATAGAATTATATAGATACTATAGAAATTACACTTCTATCTTTGTAGCACTGTAGCACTGTTCTTCCATCGTTGTTCATTGATTTGCTTGAGCGGGTACTAGTAATGTCTCTATTGTGAGGCTACTTGTTACTGTTTTTGGCATATCAAATACGCCATGGGAAGCTTGCCAGGCTCTGCCTTGTGGGTAGGATACTCTCAGTAGCTTGCTGGGCTCTCTCAGAGGGACAGAGGAATAGAACCCAGGTTGGCCATGTGCAAGGCAAATGCCCTACCTGCTGTGCTATTAGCTCATTCTATTTTTGTAATAGTACAACGTTTCTGTATTCAGGGGGCCTACTTCAGTTTGAAGATTACCCACAGCTTAGCTAACAAATCAACGAGAAAATCATTAATTGATCTTCATCCAAAGAAATAGTTTTCTGGAGACAATCTTGTCTTTCAGAATCTATAATAATTCACCAGTTTTTAGGAAATGCTTAATCACTTAATCACTTAACTTCCCGTTAGTCGTCGATTTGCTCGAGCGGGCGCCAGTAACATCTCCATTTGTCCCTGTCGCGTGCTAGTGTAGCCCAATGGCATCTGTTCACTCTGGGAACATGAAGAGCCTCAAATCGATCGTTCATGATCTTGATGAAGAAGTCTGATCATCTGGTAGGTGGGCGGCCACACGGTCTTTTGACATCCCATGGAATCCAGTCCGTAACAGCTCTAGTCCAGCGGTCGTCTTGACTACCTCCACTAGCCAGCCGCCGCCACACTCCAGGATGCTTTCCGGACCCGCGTGGCAGCTCCGGCCGAGACTCATGCACGACTGAAGACCCACAGAACAAGATCAGCGGAACTCTCTGAGACCTTGGACTCCAGGCTCAGTGGACCCAGGGCCAGAGATTCTCTCCTTGCTCTCACCAACCACAGGTGACAAAGGGATTCTAATCAGGAGTCCCACCCTACCCTGCACTGTCAGCTTCCACCAACCATCCAGGGATCGGACTGCGCACAGAAGACCCACCCTACCCCTACCGGGACCAGATAAATACCCCACTGGCAGACACTAGGGACACTGCCTCCACTACCCAGCCGCCACCACACTCCAAGATGCTTTCCGGACCCGCATCCCATATGGTTCCCCGAGCACCGCCAGGAGTGATTACTGAGTGCATGAGCCAGCAGTAACCCCTGAGCATCGCCGGTATGACCCAAAAAGAAAAAAAAATAAATAAAAATAATAATTACTAGATATAATAAAGTCAGGCTGGAGTGATACCACAGCAGTAGGGCGTTTGCTTGTGTGCAGCCAGACCACTGAGCTGAGTTTGAATCCCCCGCCCCTCTTGGAGAGTCCGCCGAGCTACTGAGAGTATCTCGCCCACATGGCAAAGCCTGGCAAGCTACCCATGATGTATTCAATATGCCAAACACAGTAACAGAAAGTCTCATGATGGAGATGTAACTGGGCCCGCTCGAGCAAGCAAATCGATGAACAACGGGAGGACCGTGACCATGAATAAAGTCAGTTTGAAAATAATTAGTTTTAATTAGAACCCACTAATAAGATTAGGTTCCAAGAGAGGGAGGTCTGCTTCCATAAGATATAAATAAATCTTGAAAAAATTCACCAGGACTAAAAAATCTACCGTGAACTTAATTTGAGAATAAGTAATGCATGGGTTCTTTAAGCCGTCAACTGCCTTTCTCTTGTCTTTTAATCCTTCACTCTACTGCAATTCACTTCCTGAATTGAGGGAAGGTCTCATTTGATAATTTGCAGCATTCCAGATGACACCAAGGACCCAAACCTTACCTCTACGTAGGTAAGCTCTCAAAAATTAAAGGCATCTAGCATTCTAAAAATTGGTTATATTCAGCATGAAGGCATCTTGCTAATTATAATGTATCCTTTTAACAAGAAATGGTTTATGTTGCACATGTGTGGGCATGTTTGCTTGTTCTGTTGTTTCTATTAGCTGCATATTTTATAATGTTAACCTTTAACATAAAGCAGTTCTATTTTGGGGATTTTTCACTGAAAATTCATTTTTTTATTTGGTTTATTATCTTTAGAGGTTTAAGCCCCAGTGAGATACTTTACAAAAATGAAAAATAATGTATTTATTTTACCTGAAGTCAACACAGGGTGATTAGGCACATTTTCACTTTCCTCATCAGTACTTTCATCATAAATTGATTCCATGTCTGCATTCATTTGACCACCCGTAGCAGTTTCCCTAGGAACAGAAAGTTAGCATTATTCTTCATTCTTCAACCTCGGCTAGGTAAAAATTCATAGGCAGATAATTAAGAAATATTCTGGGGAACAAACATACAATGCATGATTGAGGTGAAACCCTTTTAAAGGCCTTTTGCTTATTTGCCTTTCCTGTGGCATTCAGGGACCAGCACCTGGGTTAATTCCTATAATACTGGCCCTCAGTATGGCACAGAGAGGGTTTTGCTGTGCAGGTGGCCCCCAGGACTACACACTCCTTGGTGTTAGGAGAGGCAGACAGTGCTGGGGTTCAAACTCAGCACCTCAAAGCATGCAAGATATGTGCTCTAACCCTCTGAGCTATCTCCCCAGTTCTAATGTGAAATTAGGTATTTGTTTGTGTTGAGTCCACATCCAGTATTCCTCAGGGTTTACTCCTGCCTCTGTGCAGAGAATTTAGCATTTTATTATCTCAAAGCAGTTTGCCTTCATTTGATCTCCCTCAAATTCATATTCTTATGAAGAAAAAGGCCAGAGTGCTTAAAAAATTTACTCCAAATAACAGAACCAGCTGACATTAAGTGACATAGTCTTTATATTATACCACAGGTAAACCCAATAAATCACTGTCACTGTTCTCCCGTTTTTCATCAATTTGCTCGAGCGGGTCCAGTAACATCTCCACTGTGACAATTGTTACTGTGTTTGGCATAGCGAATATGTCAGAGTAGCTTGCCAGTCTTTGCCCTGTGGGCGAGGTACGCTCGGTAGCTTGCCGGGCTCTCCAAGAATGGCGGAGGAATCGAACTCGGGTTGGCCATGTTGACCACTTGCAAGGCAAACGCCCTACCCGCTGTGCTATCGCTGCAGCCCTGCAACTGCTAATGCCCACGATAATTTTCAAAAATTGTTTCATACACATAACACCTCTGATTCGTCATTAAAAATCAAGTACAAAAATTCAACCTCAGAGCCACTAAAGTCAACCATGGCTTAGACATTAAGATTTCAAATGTGAAATCAGATACATGGCTCAGTGGTAGAGAACATGTGACATATGTGGAAGACCTGGGTCTGATCATTGACACTAAAAGTGGTAATGATGATGAAATAATGATAATGAAATAAAATCTAAGTATTATACATGACTCCAATTCTACAGTTCTGCAAAAATTTTAATAAAAGTTTTAATTATGAGAACTTTTAGTCTAACATTTACACAATATTTAGGTTATTGTTTAAAATGAAATCTGATAAGTCCTGAGCACTGTTGACTATGATCCCAAAACCAAACCAAAGAAAGAAAGAGAATAGGATTGGCAACTGGGCAGACATGGAAAGATTATGTGGAGAATTCTCAAGTCGATGCTCTATCCATATTTTAAGGCAAAATATACAACTTTAGATTATCAAATCTCATATTACTAAAAAATTGTTGCACAGCTGTGTGTTTTGATAAAATTCTACTTAATTTTATGCATCTCCCAACTGAAAATATAAAGGTCACGATACCTCTTATGTTCGACGTTTTTCTCTAGTTCTTGAGTTTCACTTAACAATTTATGTAAGCTTCTGATTTTGGCTTTCTTCTCATTTAGCACAAGAATAAATCGTGTATAAAGATCATTCTCCACAGATTCCTTAGCATTCACACATTTTTCAAATCTAAAATTTAAAACAAATATACAAGGTGATGCATATTTTTATTAGTGTATAATTCCACTTAATAGGGGAAATAAATTTCAAATACTTAATAGAAAATTACAGTTATAAAAATTCTCCCTGTATTATCTGAAACAAGATACAGATTCAATGAAGTCCCTATCAAAATCTCAATGTAATTCTTGACAGAAATGTAAAAAAAAAAGACAAAATGTATATAAAGTACAAAGGATTCCAAATAGAAACAAAGCTTTCAAGAAAAACAACATATCATGTTCATCATACTCACACTATACTACAAAAAAAAAAACAGTAAAAAAAGCAGCCTGTTACCAAAATAAAAATAGAGATCAATGATAGAAAGTTGTGAATCCAGAAAAAAAATAAACATACACATAAAACTAATGTATAAGGAAGAGCATAAAATGGGGGAAAGAGAGTTTCCTCAGTAAACAATAAAAAAACTGGTCAGTCACATGCAAAAAAAAATATATATATATGTAGACCACTATCTCATACCAAAAATTAATTCAAAACTGATCAAATATTTAGATGGAAATCCTGAGCTGTAAAGTGCACAGAGAAAAACACAGTTGATAACTCCACAGAAATGTGCCTTAGAGATATTTTTGGAAATTGCACTCCAGAAGTAAGGGAACCAAAGCAAAAGTAACTAAATGAGCTAACAAATCAAAGAGGCTAAAAAAAAAAAATAAAATAAAAAAAATAAACTTGCATCAAAATAAAAGGGTAGCCTACTAAAGGGGGAAATATTTTCATATCTTATGTCTAGCCAGGATTCAATCCAAAAATGACAAATATTTTATCTAACTGAACATAAAAATTTCAAATAACCAAGTTTTTTAAATGGACAGAAATAGGGACGTGTGGCCCCAAAGTCAACAAAAAATGTTCTAAAAATAAGAAAAGCTTAATCATAATCATCTTCTTCACCTACTCCAAATAGAAACATCTCCAAAACTCCAAGTCAACAAATACACAAAAAGATATGCTTATCATCACATATTACAGAAGCATAAAACAGTGATAATACATCACACCATATACATTTTTAATTACACTTTAAATAATACATTTACAATAATGCTTACATTTATAGTATTGATGCACAAAGTACTGTATAACACTACCAGAGCGCCCTAACCCCTCTCCTGTATTTATGTCACATCTGGTCTGCTTCTCATGCCTGCTCCACCCCCAGCCCCATGACTCCCCACTCTGTTTGTTTTTAAATTTTGTAATCCAAGGCCAAGGGTTTGTCTTTGTTCAATACTATCTATTCCCCTTTTTTCCCCCTATGTTTAAGAGATGAGATTATTCTGCATTTAATTTCCCTCTTATTTATCACAGTATTATGCATTCCAATTCCACTGACACTGTAGCAAATTATGTGATTTCAAACTTGTCTTACAGTTACACAATATTTCTGTATATACAACACAACTTCTTTATCCTTTCATCTGTAATCGAACATTTGGGCTATTTCCATATCCTGGTTATTTTACTAAGTGCTAAAATAAACATAGGTGTCCACATATCTGCCTGAATCAACGATTTTGTGTTTTCGGAAATAAATGAAATTTACTTCAAATCCACCAATTAATAGTTTAAAGAGAAAACAAGCATAACAAAGTTTTGAATATAAGAACATTTGAGGTCACTAGGTGGGAAGAGAAAAGGATTTAAAAGATCGATAACAAGAGACCAAATGTATAGAAAAAGAACTTTTAAGGGAAATCCAAAAACAGTATTTCCTGATTTTCAATAATGTACAGCTAAAATTTATAAATGTCAGATTCTACTTCAATTAAAGTTAAAATACAAAAATATTTCAATATACTTATTCCTGTGGTTTTAGTTTTACATAATAGCTTGCTTATCAAGTAACAAACATTCGTTGATTTGCTATGCACAGAAAATGGATTAAAACTGCAAACTGAGAGGCTGGAGCGACAGCACAGACGGTAGGGCCTTTGCCTTTCATGCGGCCAACCCAAGTTCGATTCCCAGCATCTGATATGGTCCCCTGAGCACTGCCAGGAGTAATTCCTGAGTGCATGAGCCAGGAGTAAGCCCTGTGCATCCTCCGGTGTGACCGGAGACGCAAAACAAACAACAAAAGAAAAAACAAAACACTGCAAACTGAAACAAAAAAGCTTTCAGGTGAGCCACTAGGGCCGGGAGAGTGCTTGCCTTGCACACGGCCAAGCTGATTCATTCCTCCGCACCCATGAGGTCTCTGTAGCACCGCTGGGTGTGACCCCTGAGCGCAGAGCCCAGAGAAAGCCCCACCCACAAACACGTACGGCCCCAAAGTCAACAAAAAAAGTTCTAAAAATAAGAAAAGCTTAAACGTAATCATCTTCTCCACCTACTCCAACTACTGTTTCCGGAAGCAAACGTTCATGGGAAACTCCAAACTCCAAACCCACACAGTATCGCGAGGCTGCGGCCCGGGTGTGGGTGGGTTCACAGCCCGGAAGTCAAAGGACTCTGGGGCACCTGGCCGGCCTTTTCGTTTGTCTGTCTCTCCTCAGGCTGGTCGGGCGCCGGAAAGGCGACAGAAACTGAAAGTTCCAGAACATCTTACCCATTTTCATGGTTGGAATTGGAGTCGGGACGGGACGGAACGGCAGCTGAGGACCGGGGCTTTTCCGATACTGAATAAAATCCGAGACTTTGGGGTCGTCTGGTAAGAAGACTCTGGGGCCTCTGTAGTAGCCGGGAGGGACGAAAGCTGAAGCACGCCCGTTCCTCAGCGGAGGGGGGGGGGTCCATTTGGCCTTAAAGAACCTCCCCACTGAAGAAACGGGTGAAAGGCAACGAGCATTTCCTGTGAGGACGGCAGTGAGGACGGGGACTGGGCCTTCATTGAGAAAAGGAACAGTGACGGGTGGAGCGAAGTAGAACCGGAGCGACACGGCGACAGGGCCATGGAAGAAAGAACAATTGCCCTAGAAATCCCCGAGGTTCTGAAGAAGAAACTGGAGGATGACTGTTACTATATCAACAGGAGGAAGCGGCTGGTGAAACTTCCATGCCGGACCAACATTATCTCGATTTTGGAATCGTACGTGAAGCATTTTGCGATCAACGTTGCCTTCTCGGCTAGCGAGACGCCGCGTCCCCATCAGGCCAACGCGCACTCGGGCGTGACTCTGCACTGTGTCCCCGCCGAGAAGAATCAGGGCAGTCGCCCTCGTCACCTGCTCTGCCCGCGAGACCCCACTGTAGGCGGGGCCGGCAGCGTGGACCTTTGTAAGGAGATGGTGGACGGGCTGAGGATAACCTTCGATTACACTCTCCCGCTCGTTCTGCTGTATCCGTACGAACAAGAGCAATATAAAATGGCGACGTTGTCCACAGTTTTTCTTCCGGTGAAGGGAAGCGTCACCGACATGACCAGAAGCTCGGTGGAGCTCTCTCCTAGCCCACCTTTAGCGAATCCGGCGGCCCCACAACCCACGGAGGGGCAGCCAGTGGCCGGGGAGCCCACCACCCCCAAAAGGCGCAAAGCCGAGCCCGAAGCTTTGCTGTCTCTGCGGCGCTCCACACGCCACTCGGTGGGCTGCGACACCCTGTCGGAGAGCGGGGCCTCCCCGCAACCCTTGTGCTGGCAGCAGGACACGGCCGCCCTGCACCTGGAAAAGACGACACCAGTGCAGAGCGGCTCCACCCCACCTGTCCTTCTGACCCTCAGTCAAGAAGGGAGCATTGTGTTTGCTGGCGTGGAAGGCAGATCTCAAGAAATAAATGAAGTACTGACCTGGAAACTTGTGCCTGAAAGTTATCCGCCCAGTGACCAGCCACCTCCTGCCTCTTATATTTATGGAGCACAACACTTGCTGCGGTTATTTGTGAAACTTCCAGAAATTCTTGGAAAGATGTCCCTGCCCGAGAAGAACCTGAAGGCGTTACTGAAGCACTTAGATCTCTTCCTGCGGTTTTTAGCAGAATACCATGATGACTTCTTCCCAGAGTCAGCCTATGTGGCTGCCTGTGAAGTGCACAGTAGCACCAAACCCCCCAGGGCCATGTGCTGATGTGGAGTGGCCTTCTCCAGGTGGTGCTGAGGATCCAATCCAGGGACATATGAAGCATGTACAACCAGCCCGTTGAACTATATCTCTCAAGTTATTTCTGTTTAGGATTACTTCCTAGGTGCCTGAAGGGATGTGACCCTTGTCTTGTATATATTAACTGTAATGCCAGGAAAATAACTAAATTCTCCTAAATTTTAAAAAGCAAAGCACCTATGAAGTTATGCAGAAAGTAGTTTTTTTTTTTTTAGATTTGTAGTTATTTGGGAGCAGTGAGCACATTTTACTGTTATTTGTTAGTACCAACAAGAATTATTTGAGAAAACTCTGTCCAGAAAATTTCAGTTTTGATTAGAAATTGCAAATGTAGTTATAAAATGTCTGAGGAAGTTGATATTGATATTAAAAAAGCAGCTATACATTTGTTAGAGTTCATTTTGTGTAAAACGTTACTTTTACAGATCTTCATATAGCCTATCTTGTTGATTTTACAGTATTAAAAAATTAACCATAACTTTTGTTTCCTCTCTTTTGTTAAAATTACTACTATAGCCACAATGATCTCATTTTGTCATTAAGCAATTAATCTGTTTATCTAGATAATGAATTGCTCTGTGGTAAGAACATGGGTTACTCCCTTTTGATTCTGACCCAGCATCACATAAACATGTACACACTTAAGTATGGGAAAAAAATACCCAACATGAATTTTCTACGAAACATGACCGACTACACACCTTCAATTTTAGGTATATAAAAGAAAAAATAAAATTCCCTATCATTTATTTCTACAAAATTCAAATATACCGATGAACTGTATTGATTTAAATTCTATCTATCTATCTATCTATCTATCTATCTATCTATATGTATCTGTGGTTCCATATAACAGATAAATACATTTACATACAGCATCAACAAATTTGTTATATTTTTATCTATTTATCTAGGGTGCTCAGGAGACCCAGAAGGCCAGAAGGCCTTGACTTTTTAGTCAACTGGGTCATGGTTCAATGCAAAGGCCAAGAATGTGATACTACTCGGGATGTGCAGGATTTTGGGATCTTCAGGGCTGTATGGAGTGGTGTTCAAGGCCTCATATGGTGCTGGGAACTGAACAGGATCAGGTACACGCAAAGTATATGCTCTAACTACTATACTATAATTGGTTCTTAACTCTATTTCAGATATTCAAGTAAAAATTGTTTCATATAAGATATTCTTTTTGATGGACTGGAGCCATAGCACAGCGGGTAAGGCATTTATCTTACAAGCAGCCAACATGGCTGACCTGAGTTCAATTCCTCCGCCCCTCTAGGAGAGCCCGGCAAGCTACCAAGAGTATCTCGCCCGCAGGGCAAAGCCTGGCAAGCTCCCCATGATGTATTTATTCTATATGCCAAACACAGTAACAAGTCTCACAGTGTTACTGGGCCCGCTCAAGCAAATTGATGAACAACAGGAGGACCGTGACCGTGACTTCTTTTTGATGTTATAAATTTCTTCCTAGTCTTCTTTCCACCATTCTGCTTATTTACGTTTTATATGCTTTACACAGATATACCAGTATTTCCTCTCTTTTCTGACCTCTAGTTATATTTAAATATCTGTGTATAGATATATACATGTATATATATGATAGTCAATATAGTAGTAAAAATAAAAATATCCAAACATGATACAAACTTATTAGTGAATGTATTATTCAGTTAAGAAAATTCAAATAATAAGTATATAAATGATTAAAATATGCCGATTAAAAATATATGTACTAGACAGTATAAGGGAAAACAGACAAATATAAAGAGGAACTGCCAAATTGACAATGATAATCTATTTTAGGTAAGGACATTTATATTTTGGATGAAGATGTTGTGTAAACATTCTATACACATTCTATTTTCCTGTAATCTCTAACACAAAAATATATTAAAGATGAATCCAACATACATACCATTAACACATTTAAGTATATAGTAAACTATTCTTTGTTTGTGGGGAGAATCTTACACATAGAGCTCTGCACTGCAGGTGGGATAGTTCTACTTTTGGGCCACAGTGGTATGTATTGCATTGGCCTAGCAATGGCAGAGATCAGGAAGGTTAATCTGGTGCTGGGGCAGGGGAGTTGGAGGGTATGAAAATGGACATGACATGCTGGAGATTAAATATAAGCAAAGTGAAAACCACCCATAAAAAAATACCTTATACAGTAAAGGTAAAGGTAAAGGTAAAGGCCCTCCTGTTGATCGTCGATTTGCTCGAGCGGGCCCAGTAACGTCTCCATTGGAGACTTTGTTGTTACTGTGTTTGGCATATCGAATACTCTCAGTAGCTTGCCGGGCCCTCCGAGAGGGGCGAAGGAATCGAACTCGGGTCGGCCATGTTGGCCACTTGTAAGGCGGACGCCCTACCCGCTGTGCTATCGCTCCAGCCCTACCTTATACAGTATAATTGGTTATATAAATTAGAGGAATAGTACTTAGCAATTTTTCTAATTGTTAAATATTTAATTTCCATAAATCACCTCAGTAATTCTTGACTAAATAATTAAGTGCTTATCAACGACCAAAATAATTTCTGAACCAATAGAAAAATCAACTTTTTGTATATCACAAAAATAAGAGCAGATATCAAAATGAGATATATAATTCGCCTAAAGAAAATCTAAAGAATTAGCATTATGGTTACATTCTCTAAGGTAATATTTACATAATAGGAAATTAAATTGTATAGGCAGTATGTGAGTTAACACTGCTAGGTTTTAGCAAAGCTTTAGGTTTTTGTTGCAATCAAACCTGATTATTAACCTGGATAACATTTCTTAGACAATGCTAAGGAGTGGAGACTGGCAGAGGAAAAGTATTACTTTGAAGTATTCAAGGTGTGAATTTACTATTTCTTACTTATTTTTTAGAACACTTGGAGAACATTATCTTTCTTCAATATTGAACTAAGGGTGAATACTATGTCCCCTTCAAATAGAGCATCGTGATGTACTATGCCTTCTCTATTACTTTGCTTATACCAATACTCCACTTTAGGAATAGGATATGGTTTCCCTTGAACATGTATCTTGCTTGCTTGTCTTTATACTTCTTTGTTTGCTCATTTCCACTCTGGAGAAATTTGTGTTCTATCTCGAACATGTATTTCTCCCACTTTCTTCCCTCACATCTTTCTAAATAAGTTCAATAAAAACTTTATTGCTTAAACAAACAAAAAAAAGAGCAGGACATAAGTCTGGAGAGAGAGTTCATCAGATGAGGTGCTTGCATTAAAGTAATGTGACTTGAGTTTAATGACCTGCACTGTATATGGTTCCCCAAACACCACCAAGCCCAGGATTGCACCTGGGTCAGCTGAGCATTGTCATGAACCAGGTGGCTATAAAAACAAAAACCAAATATAAAAAAAGAAATATATATATACATATATATAATTCATTGCTAAATTTAGTAACACTAGAAGAAAACTTATATACTCCAAGACAAAGCATAAACCTGATGAAATTACAATATCAAAAAGAAAGAATGATGTTCATTTTTTTCAACACTGACTAGGACAACTTTAATAATGTTGTTTAATTAGTAACCAGAACTAAGATATCTAGGAACATGGATAAAAGGAAAATAATTTTTTTAAAAAATTGAAATGGTTTTAAAAAAAACGGCTGAAGAGATATGTGGTCAACTCCAGTTAATCCCTGACATCATATAAGGTTTTCTGAGCATTGCCAGGAGAGACTTCTGAGCTAAAGCTAGGAGTAAGCACGGAATACTGCTGGATGTGGCCCACAAAACAGAAAAGATAAAAGATTAATTTGGACAAATACAGAATGCTCAAAAACACTTGAGAATGAGAATAGAGTACACAAAATTATTTTAAAGAAAAAAGGTCAGAAACAAGGCAATTTTGTGCAGAAATAACACATCCAGATTCAATGTTAATAAAACAATAGATGCATAACATGAGTCTACATTACCTAAAAAGAATTTAATTATTTTATTTATAAGTAGTTCTGACCAAATTTATATCCACATCAAGTCTGCATAGTGAAAAACATTCTATATAGAGCTCAGAGGACAAATAATGCTAAAAAGAAGTGAAAACAAAAGCAGTGGAAATGAGATTAATAAGCCTGAAAGTACCGAAGAAGATGGTGAACAGCTGTTCCTCATCCTCTCTGATGACAAAACAAGAGGAAATGACCTTCAACTATACCATGAAGGACTCAGATTACCAATAGATGGAAGGGAGAATTTTCTGACTGTGACTTTTCTTAGATATTTTAATGGGCAATGGGGGTGGGGGGGGGGGGGGAGTTGAAGCTATCTCCCGAGGTCTTTAAAAATTGGACTGAATTCATCTGTATACAATGTGCTCGTGGTTTGAAGGCAGAGAGAATAAGGACAGGAGCTTTCAAGGTCTCTTTTATTCTAATGATTCCAGGAGTGTCAAATCAATTCATTCAGATGAAAATTGCCTCCAATTAGAGTTTTAATAATTGTTAACTCAGAATAGAGCTGGAAAGTTTTTATTTTGATATCTAAGCACAAACAAAAGACCTACTTAATAACAATAAATTTGAGAGTTGTTTTTCAACTAAAGTAGGAAAAACTAGAGAAATAAATATAGTCAATAACTACAGATTCAGTTATATTTCTAATGTTATTAATTGGAAATCTTTCAAGTAGTTTCATCTAAACTAAACAACTTTAATATGTCACCTATTGGAACGGATTCCATAATTATCTATCAAATTAAAAATAAAGAAAACCTATATATTAAAAATCTACACATAAAATCTCATTCTATTCCTATAAAATTTCCATTCTTCACTTAAACCAAATTTACTCTTTACCATCATTCTGCATAGAAATATCTTTAGAGTTGACTGAGTATAACAGTAATCAATTATTAAATACCTAAATATATGCAAAAATACTCAAAAAATAAAGGCAAATTTCATCCATAATTTTAGGCATATACTACTAACAATTTTGTCTTTTTAGATACCTCTATTTAAATGAGTTTTGCAAAAACAAAAAAAAATGGGATACTACTCATATTTGGTAACATACACTTTCACTTTAACCATACAAATACTTTTCATGTTAAAAATTGGATAAATAGGCACTTGTATTCATATTATATCCTATCTTGTACTTTAGTCTTATTAATAGCTTCTAGGGAAATTCTCAGTGATGTGTCCCCTCCCACTTCACTCATCATGCATACACAGTCTGTAACAATGATGGGGAAGAAATGAATAGAACATGAACAGAATACTGAGAAAGTCAGAGGCTGCCTAGAAAATTGTACTGTGACAGGCCTAAGATGATGACTTTTGTACTAATGATACTCTACTTCCTATGATCTCAATTGCCTTTTTCATTATGTTTATTTCCTAGTTCCAATCTTTTTATTAAGACTTGAAAAGTACTACTGCCTGTATAAGTTAGAACTGTACAAATCGTTTGCACATTTTCTAGTGTATTAAGGCTCTAGAGAAGAAATGCATAAGAAAGCACTCTTGGCCACATTCAAGATGTTTTTGTTGCTCCTTAAAAATTGCCACTTACTCCTTTGATAGGAAAGAAAAGCATATTTGGGAAATAGGCAAAGCTAGTAACTTAACATGGGTATACAAAATTTAAAAAATTCTCTTTCCTTTCAATTTGGAGTGTTATGACAATCTGAAGTCCTTTAAGAGTCTGGTTCAGTGTTTACCAAAAAAAAAATAAATAAATAAATAAAAAATAAAACCCAAATAAACAAAAGTTAAAAAAAATAAAGCAAGGGATAAGATATGTGTTTTTCATATAATAGGAAATCTTATGCCACATTAACAAAAAGGCACTTTCTAGACAGTTCAGAAATAGAAAATCAAGCATCTGTGGCAACATATTCTATGCACTCCTCAGTTTTACACAGCACAGGGTGCGTTTTCTCCAATGTCTTGTCTTTATTCTCTTCTGCATTTCTTTCTTTGACAGTAGTGTTGAATATTGATGAGATAATACCTCTTTCAACCTCTGGCACACTTTTAAAGCAATTTGTTCAAGTACCAAGTACTCAGTCGGCATTTTTGTGGGCAATTTGTGGATCAAATTTCCTATCATCCTGAGCATTCATGAGTTATAAATATAATAGCTTATCATGACCACAGTATAACTTCTATAAACTGATTTAAAACATATATGATATAGAAAGCATGCCAAAACTACAGCTGCATCACAAAACATACTTTCTAGCACAGATATATGATCATGATTTATTACAGCATATATAAAGCAGAAGTTAAAGAGAATAATCACCCATTTATTCTAGATGATTTCCCAATTTTGTCACTTTTGATATAGCCTACTTACCTGTAATTGGGAGTAATATATATTCTGAGCTTAAAAAGAAAAAGATACTTCATAATATAATGACTAAGGAGTTATAAATATATTCAAGGAACATAATTTTATATGTTTTATAATAATAATTATTAATAACTTGATAGCTATGTGATTTCTTTCCCTCTGACCTCATTCTCACACACATATGTTGGTGTTACTGAAGTTCTGATTTTTTCCTGTTTTTTTTTGTGACTAGTGTTCATAAAAATAATCTCAATTACTATTTTTAAAAAAAGATTCTAAGTAGGATAAATCTTATATAGAGAGCTATTGGTTTGAATGAATGGTAAAAAATATTTATGAGAAACCATAGGTAAAGGTAAAGGTAAAGGCCCTCCCGTTGATCATCGATTTGCTCGAGCGGGCCCAGTAACGTCTCCATTGGAGACTTTGTTGTTACTGTGTTTGGCATATCAAATACGTCACGGGGAACTTACTCTCGGTAGCTTGCCGGGCTCTCCGAGAGGGGCGGAGGAATCAAACTCGGGTCGGCATATATAACAATAGTTAAAACATACATTCTACATAACTGTTTCATATGATAGACATGCAAACATGCATATTATACTTTTCTCTGTGGGGACAGAAATGCTGACAACATCTTACTTCCTTTACACATCTTAAGCATATAAGACAAATACATGCTATATCCTGGGTCATCTTAGATTGTGATAACATTGAGAAATTTCAAATTGAGAAAATAAGTGACTTTCCTCATCATTTAAAAAAGAGGAGGTCCAGAGTGGTGGCACAGTGGTATGGAGCTTGTCTTGCATACGGCCAACAAGGGTTTGATCCCCAGTACTCCCTATAGTTCCCCAAATACTACAAGGAGTGATTCCTGAGCACCACTGTGTGTGGGCAAAAAGCAAACAAGCAACAAAATTATAAATAAAAATAAGAGGCAAATCAAGGAAGTCAAAGTTTTCCAAATGTCACCTCCAATTGCCAAGATTACCTCATCTTTTGAAAATGCCAGTATAAATTTTCAATTAGAAAGGAAAATGTCTTTAAGTTACCAAAACAAACATCATTTGTTGCTATTCATATAAAAATTTGAAGTTGTAACCAGTTGGGTTAATTCATATTTTCTATCTTTTTTTGTATTCACTTTTTAATATAATTTAAATTGATCCTTATAAGCATTAACATCCCAAATCTTAATTAATATGAATGGACTCAAACTAGCAGTTCAAATGATTCCAATAGTGTATAAGTTAGCTGGTGAGATCCAAATACTAATAACCTAAAAGTGTCAATATACAAGTAAATAATGACCTGTTTTAGTTACATAATATAAAGTATAAATAGTGAAAGACTTTATTTTAAATATACACTAGTATAAAGGGCTGGAGTGATAGCACAGTTGGTAGGGCATTTGCCTTGCATGTGGACAACCCAGGTTTGATTCCTCTGTCCCTTTGGAGAGCCTGGCAAGCTACTGAATGTATTCTGCCCGTATAGCAGAGCCTGGCAAGCTTCCCTTGGCGTATTCGATATGCCAAAAACAATAACAACAAGTCTCACAATGGAGATGTTATTTGCGCGCGCTCAAGCAAATGGATGAACAACTGGAGGACACTGCTACAGTGCTACAGTGCTAGTATAAAAATCTACAAATTATTAACTTAATGTTACAACATTGAAGATGCAGGTCTCCGGGCTAGAGCTATAGCACAGCGAGAAGGACATTTGCCTTGCAAGCAGCTGAAATGGGTTTGATTCCCAGCATCTCATATGGTCCCCTGAACACAACCAGGTGTAATTCCTGAGTGCAGAGCCAGGAGTTATCTCTGTGCATTGCCAGGTGTGACCCAAAAAAAGAAAAAAAAAAAAGATGCAGCTCTCTTATAATACAGGCTCATTATGTACCCACCGACTTTGAACATCATTCCAATCTCTCAGAAGCCTTTCATTTTCTTTTTGCAGGTGCTCATTTTTGGCTTGATTTTCTGCGATGGTGTCCAGGCAGTCACAAATAAGTTCTCTAATGACATCAGCTGGGCTTGCAACTTTTTCTACGTCAAAGGAGCCAAGTCTGAACTACGAATAAAAAAAATCACAATTGATTTTGAGGCAGTATTAAGACTGAACAGCTCAATTTTAAATATACATAATTTTCTCTGAAGGGACAAAAATGTAAGAAACAAAATAATATATTTACCAAATGTAAATACAGAGTACAAAAAACTGGATAATTTTCTTGCAAAATCTGTTTTATAAAGTCATTTATTAAAATGTATTTATTAAATTTATTAAAATACACTATGTAAGTGTATAGTGTATACTTATACAGTAGTACAGTGGATAGGGCATTTGCCTTGCATGCAGCTGACAGGGTTCAATCCCCAGCATCCCAAATGGTCCCCCATGTATTGCAGGAGTAATTCCTGAGTGCACAGCCAGGAGAAGGTGTGATCCAAAAAGGAAAAAAAAAAAAAAGAAAAAAGAAAAGAAACATAGTTAAAATTTGTTATTTTGAAAAGAATGTTTCTATAAAAATGGCATGTATAGATTGGGAAAATTCAACAGCTGTTGATAAATCAGAAATAAATGCCTATTAGTAAATTTACAAAGAAGATTAAATGTAACCTAAATAGAAACATAATACCATCTGAGTGGCACTTCATAAAAACTACCATTAAGTTCTATTATTTAGGATCATTTGATGTTTAGTCCAACAGTGTGAACTTACCTGGAGGTATCCACCCACTAATTTCCTTTAAACTTTCAGATAGAAAACACTGGTATATATCTTACACAATATTAGATAAATGCAGAAAAAGGGCAATATTTTAATAATGATGATGAGACTGAAAAACAATTATATTCATTGAGAAAGTAAAGGTATGGGGACAGAGACAGCTCAATGGGCTGAGTATATGCTTTACACGTGGGAGGCCCATGTTCAGGCCCCAGCACTTCTTTGCCCCATGCACACTGCAGGAAGTGACCCCTCAACACAGACCGGGTGCAGTTCCAAAGCACTGAACAATGGGCTGAACAATGAAAGATAGGAAAGAAAGAGAAGGCAGGAAAGAAACAAAAGAAAGGAGAGGAAGGGTGGGAGAGAGGAAGGGTAAAATAAGTTAATTAAAATGTAAAGATAATCAAAATATTTTTATCCTTTTATGTATATTTTTCAGTTAAAAGCACACTATGAAGATTGAATAATACTATTTTGATCACATATAAATTCACATGCATTTGAGAGAAGAGTTTTGAAATTCAAGTTGGTCTGTCATAATATCTGATTATTTCTTAATTTCTTCTGTTTCATCCCTTTCTATTTCTTAACAAAAGAAAAAAAAATTATCCTTTACTTCAATAAGTACACCGAACTGTATTTACCTCATAACATGACCTAAATGAATTGATTTGTAAAATAACTATCAAAAAGGGCACTTGAAAAATTCTAAATTTTTTTCATTTATTGAGTTGAAACCAATTTAGATCATTATCATGCCAAATTAATTTTTTAATTTTAAATTTAGGATCAAATGTTCAAACACATATGCAGCTTTTCCAGATAATTAAGTGAATGTTCATTCAAAAAACATATACATTTTATAAGTAAAAAAAGGTATGTACTGAAATTAAGAATTACATTAATTAAAAGTCAATTTGATCATTTACTTTTTGACACTTCCCTCATTGTAAACAGATTCACATGCAAAAATGAAGTCACCTGTATATACTATTTTTTCACTAGTTCTTACCAAGGAGTAAATCTTGTTTTATTTTCAGACAACATATTACATTGTCAGTTAACCATAATGCTGCAAAGTGATTTTGCACACTCTGAGTATCACAATTTCAGGCAGTGTTGTTAACAAAGTGAGAATTTCTAGGAAGAAAAAGTTTTTCATCACTGGAAAGTTTTACAATGGCAAATAAGAAATTGGTGGCACACCTTGATTCTGACTAATCAGTTAAATACACATTAAGTGAGGAAAAAAGAAGTCCAGGCCCATCCGCTTCTACCATTGGTGTCAAAAGAAGGAAACAATTCTCAATCACATATTTGTGAATCTTTTATTCAATACTTGTTTTGATTAAAGTTCTTTTTTAAAAGATCATTCAAATTTATTTATTCAAAATCACAAAGGAGAATTCTTAAATATTTTCTTGGCTTTTCAGTATGAAATAAACGTCAATATTTCTTCTTAACAGTTCTTTCCAATTGTTAAGTTTCTGTTTTCTAATAAAGTTCATTAGTTTGGGGTTCTTTAATAGATGTAAATATCTGTGATTTCTAAATAATGAAAGTAAACCAGCAGAACGTAGAAACTCAATTCTAGAAAGACAGTTCTACTTAAAATATTTGGATTACATTGTAGAAAAATTCTAGAATCTAAGAACCATTGTGTTTGTACACATATGGTTCAGGATCAAGGCAGTAACACTCCTTCCATTTTCACTACTGAAGCTCCAGCTTGTTCGTGCAATAAGACATTTGCAAGTGGTCATCATGTTCCTATCAACACAGAACTTCATTAAGGGCCTGATAACTGGTCTAACAAATAAAAGAATATAAAATACTTTTGTATTGTAATTTTACACCAGGCACATCCATTTACTGCCATTTGTAATCCTTCTATAACCAGTAAATTCATACAAAACCCATATTGTATGGCTGTGTTGATGTTTAAATATTTTACTTTGGCATTTTGATATGTGAGTCTATTAAGCACAGCTACTCCTTCTTTACTAGTTTTGTCAGTTAAAAATAATCTATAGTATAAAAGCATTGCTAAATGGTACACAAGATTTAAAAAAAACACAAATTAGGGCACTTTGAAAGGATGTATCTTTTATTAGAGATATAGGCAAACCTAAGTTTCTTTCTATAGTCAATTCCCAAGAACTTTAGAAGACAGACTACCAGCCAAGTAACTGTATGTGTAAATGTTTAACATTTTAAGATTTCTATTTTCCTACATAAGAAAAGTTGGCAATACTTTCAAAATACTCATAATCATAGTATGCTACGCCAGTTTAGTGACTAAAACAAACATCATCTGTATCAAAAATCTCCATCTCAAAAAAGATATGTTTGTGGAGGTTTTTTTTTTCACAAGTCTGACAATTCTTAAGTCTAAAATTTGAAGTAATGCCCCCTTCCTAGGTCTTTAAGATGAGGGGTTATATCTTACATCTTTTCCATAATTGCTATCATTTACATAGTCAAAAAGACTTGAATATTTTTCTGAAGAATTATAATAATGAGAAATGTTTATCATTTTTATATTAATATTATAATGATAAACATTTCTCATTATAAAGGTAACAAAATTCTTGTAGGCAGGTAGAGAAATGAATTGGGCTGAAGCAATAGCACAGCTGATAAGGCATTTAGCTCCCACGCAGCCAACATGGCCGACCCGAGTTCGATTCCACAGACCAGAGTTCGATTCCTCTGCCCCTCTTGGAGAGCCCAGCAAGCTACCGAGAGTATCTCGCCCACATGGCAAAGCCTGGCAAGCTACCCGTAACGTATTCGATATGCCAAACACAGTAACAAGTTTCATGTTACTGGGCCTGCTCGAGCAAATCGATGAACAATAGGAGGACAGTGACAGTGACAGTCATACGTAAGGTATGTGACCATTTACTTCTAGTCAGTAGGGAGAGTGATTACTGAAGAAAAATTTAGATCTGCTTTAAAGAGATAGAAGATACAACCATTCTGTGATTAGTATAATTTGACTAAAAAAAGAAAAAATTTAATGCATGAATTATCTTTTCCAGAATCAATAGTGTAAAGTTAGATATAAATCACACATTTAGATCTTTGAAAGATCTCAAACATAGACTCAACAACATTCTTCTAAATAATATGCTCCTAGATTGAGTCAATGAAGTTTGTAAATAAATAAAACTAACAAACAGCAAAAATAAAGATACATGCTTCCAGGTCCTAGGAGATACCATGGAAACAATATTAAGAGGGAAATGTATAGTAATGAAGGCTTTCATTACTACATAAAGAAAGTTCCAAGCAATCTCCCCTAAAATCACAAAAAGAACCAGTGATTAAGAGCCAAAAGTCAATCTAAATGTGCATGAACATATCTATAGGTGCAAAACCTGGGAAATAAGTATGGAAGCACCACAATGAAAGGAGCGCAAATCATGAAGAATACTGCAACAAATCTGTCACAAATATGCCACAATCTGTAAGCAGTCCCTGGTGAGGCAATTGAATTTGTCAGCACAACAGTGAGGGTTTTTGTGCCCTTTGGTCACTGCTCCATCTTTAACAGAAGGAAAGAAACAGGGAAGTAACATATAAAAATTTTTAAAAAGACAACAAAAATTAGAGAAAAAAGAAAATAGAAAAATTAATATTAAAAAAAGTTCTTTGAAAGGATCAATAAAAATTGAGTAAGCAAATATGTACCAAAATTTTAAAAAATGTTATGTTATGAGATTCTTATCATGTATGAAATAGTAGGGTATAGGAAGAAATATCACGGATCATTTATTTTTTATCATTTGAACCATTCACCTTGTTCAAAATCAATTGCTCAAATCTCTCATTACATTCTTTAGGATAATTAAAACTGAAGAGTCTTGCATTTTTTTTTTTACTATAATATTTATAACCCAGCAAGCTACTGAGAGCATCCTGCCCGCATGGCAGAGCCTGGCAAGCTCCCCGTGGCGTATTCGATATGCCAAAACAGTAACAATAATGGGTCTCATTCCACTGACCCTGAAAGAGCCTCCAATACGGCACTGTTGGAAAGGACGAGTAAGAAGAGGCTGCTAAAATCATAGGGCTGGGACAAATGGAGATGTTACTGGTTGCCCGCTCTAGCAAATTGATGAACAACGGGATGACAGCGATATAGTGATATAGTGATAAAAATTTTGGTACTTTAACATTTAAAATATTAGAATTTTAATACCAACCTTTCCTCTCCCACAAATCACTGAATTATTATTTGATAAAACAACACAATTGGTTTGTTCATCATATTTATTCAATTATCTTCATATGGGGGCCACACAAGGCAGTGTTCAGGGCTTGATCCTGG